GGGTGCAGGCTTGTATGGTAGTAAATACGTGGTACATCGTTGAGGCGTGTCAATGCATTTGCTGACGTTTTCCCTCCTGTGTGTTCTTCGTACCCCTTTCCTCCTCTTGCTCCATCCGTGCATCAGGTACTCTCGCTCAGCATCCTAACGGCACCGCGGCGCTGGCGGGAAGCCGGCCGCGACTCGAGCCTCACTTGACAAGCCGGTTCATCTTTAGGTGGGTCACATGCATAGAGCAGCAACAGGGGGTTTCGTGCAGTCCAGATTGCGATACAACTCTGCGGATGAGCGTGATATTGTTGAGGGATACGCTTGCATGCGTGCTGCTGGGAGCGACATTTGTGCTACTCAAGTGTTTGTAGAGTTTCTGCATTTTTGTTTACGACGCATACTTGTATCGATGGCACAACGGCCGGGCACACTTTTACCAACTGTCCGCGGTCCAACCATGGCACTACAAAGGGCCGTAGAGAAGTTCGACGCTTGGGTATGTTCACTTTTGCCTTTTGGCCTCTGATGAAAATGCTGAATCGCAAAACACATGTCATGTTCTCGCTTTGGATGACAGGTGTTCATACAACCGAGCGCTGGACATCAAGACGGGGTCGAAGGCTGATTTGGCGGTTCCTCTCCGTCGAACAGCTACCCAACCTATGGGGTGCCAGGGCAGTGTTTGAAGACGTGGTGTTAATCCTGCGCGATGTAACGGCGATTCAATGCGAACCTCTTGGTGATCATTGGCAGCCATCTTGCATCCTGCGGAGAACTGTTGTGACGACCGGAAGATGTAAACGCTTGGTTTACGCACAGGCACATTCGGAGATCTAGGGTTCGTTTTCCATGCTTATTCGTTGCTATTTCAGCGAGCGCCTATTCGGCGAGCAAATGCTGTTGTGTCCCGTTGGAATTTGGAAACGCCTTGTGTATAGGTTACAGCGGTAGCAGCCGGTGACTGGGGTAGTGAGTAGGGGCGGTTTGGTGGGGACGGGGGCGTGCCGAATGCGAAGATGGGCATGAGGGGATAGAAGTACCATCCGTGCTATGGAGGCTGGACATGTGTCATTTTTCGGGGGGGCGTGCAAACCTTGTGGGCACCACAACAGCAGTAGGAGTGCCTGGCAGCAACGTAAGTACATAGCAGTAATGGGAGAGAACTACATAGTGTTGGCAAACTCTGCTGTCGCTGAAGTTCCAATTCTTGTTTCCCAAACCGGTTTGGGGGTAAACGGCAACGGCCGATGCTAGCCCTGATCGGGGTGTGGTGCAGTCTTCTGTAGCAGAACCAACCTACACAGACGTGATGCTGCCGTGTTTTTCGTAGACGTCTGAATGTAGAAGAACACATGGCTTGAATGTACACGCATCGATCCTTCTCGTAAGATGCCCAATGTAGAGCAAAACACTATACTTTGAAATCGTACTCGATTTGAAAGAGATAAGTACACGTACAACAGACGCATGCAAGAAAAAAAAAAAGGTGGTACCTTCCGCACAATCATAAAGCCTCTTAATTTAGTGCACTCCCTCGGCCGCAATTCCTTGTACATTCTGATGCGCATGCATCAGTCCTCCTCGCAAAGTGCCAGGCAATGCAGAACAAAAAACGATTTTGAAATCGAGCTCGATTTGAGCGAGATAACAGTCAAAACAACAGGGCACAGAAAGGAGAAAAAAAGAGGCTTCAGCCCAAACGCCTCTTCGTATTTTTTTCGCGCTTCGCGCGAAATTAATATAACTCCTTCCCGGGTTGCCCTACCCATGGTCGCTGAGCCGCGTCCGGAACAGGGACCATGGGTAGGGATAAATTTTTTAAAAGCGGCGCCTCTGATTGGCCCAAACCGCCGCATTTGAACGAAGCTGATTGGGAGTTTGAAAGCGGGTTTTAAAAGCGGCACTTGGGATTAGTACGAAAGGAGTTGTAAAGACCGCGCGCGCGTGCGTTGTACTAAGAACCAACGTGCGCGCCGGCAGCACTGCACAGCTGCACAGCGCACAACACGTGCTTGCCAGCGTATGTATATCGCGTGGACAGACGCCGCGACGTGGTGAGATGCCAGGCAATGCCCCTCATGAAACCACCTGGGGCTGGGCTGCTATTGCGGCGGCGTGAACCTCCTGCTTGAAGCAAACGACCTCATCATCAACCAGAGCGCCGGTTGTGTTTTGGCATCATCATCATCATCATGACCGACCACGAAGCAACGGACATGGGATAAGGGCGTGGTGGCGACGGCTGGCTGTGTAAAACACGTTGCTGAGCACTGGCGGCGGTAAAGCTAGGAGGAGAGGCAGAGGTAGCAGCGGTCACCCCGTTTCGGCTTTTCCAGGTGAATATGTTGGTGCTACAAGCAGGTGTACAGCAACAGCAGTGAGTTGCAGCGCTTAGCCTTCGTGGGGTGTATCGTGTGCGTGCCTCTCTGTACGCTGCTTAGTACCCCATTGATGTGACGGCTGCTGCTGTACTGCTGTAGTGTGCGTACAT